CTTGTCCGGGTTTCTTGACCTAACAATGGCAACGTATTCTGGGGTGAGTTTCAGGGATCACGGCTGGGCAATCCCTGGGAAGGGTATTCTGCTGCTGACGGACAGTGCTGCTCATCTGGTGTTGGCTGGTTTTGATCCCCATGTCTTTCCTGTTTGCTTTCTTCCCCACAACAGTGACTGGGGAAGTGCTAAGTCTAGGCAATCCGTGCAATGGAGCCCAGGGCCTCACACATTTGAGGCAAGCATTCTGCCACTAAGCTACATGCCCCCCCCCCCCCATAATAAATTCTCACTGTGTGAGCCCAGGCTGGCCTTGAATTTAAGAGCTTCCTGCCTCTCCCTCCCTAGTGATAGGATTACAAGAATTTACCACCACACCCAACTTAAACTCTCAGCAAATCTGCTTTTGTGGCCTGCTTTTTCTTATTTCCCCTTAACTGTTCCTCTAAATTCATGGCTAAAACATGATTGGTAGTGACTAAATAATACTCCATTAATAAATGAGACTAGTATAATTGTTCTTCCACAGGCAAGTAAGTTGATTTAAATATGAAAAAGAAAAAGAGGAAGTTTTAGTATACAGCTTTATGCCTTTACTTAGACATTGGCTGAACTTGTGCCAAGTCTTTTCTTAGGGTTGGTCAGCTAGTATACATTAGAGAATTGTATTTCTTGCTTCCTTCTGATATCAGTGGGAATTCTGTGAAGCAGTGTTCTCATGTTAAATGAATTTGAGTGATCTTTACTCCCACTCATGTATTAGATATCAACACAGAGTCTATAAGTTTCATAAAGGCTTCTCCCACATACCAACACACACACACACACATATATGTAGCATTGAGAATTATTTCATATAGCAGTAGGAATCAACCCAGCCATGCGAAGCTGCCTGCCCTCAATTATCGTCAAAATGTGAAGTACAAATTTATTCCAACATTTTAGGCAAGATAATGTTTATGAAATAAGCTAGAAATGTTTCCTTTCCCCCACTCAGACCCACAAGCTGATTTTGCCCTGTTGGTTTCTTTGTGACGTTGCAGATGCCACACTGTGTTTCTTCCATGCTTTGTAAATGTAAGTCCCAACCTTCAGCCTAAACCAACACAGGCCCTCCCTGAGCTCTGCCTGGTGTGGTCTGCTCCGTTTCCCAGGGACCCAGACTGAGCTTTCAAGAGGGCCATTTTGTGAGAAGGCCCAGTCCAGAGAGTCTGGATGTCAGAATGCTAACCATAGAATGAGGAGGCCATTTTCGGGTGTCATAGCTACTTGATCATTCACCAAGTAAACAGACAAATTCATGAGCCAGGTTTGATGGTCTAACCTGGGATGGAAGAAGGGTTACTGGAGCAGTGAGATATGAGACACACACCACAGCACCCAGGATAGTTCACAGTTGGGGGATTCCACTTGGGTGCCTCCCCTAGGTCACAGAACTTGGAGGGCCCCCATGAGGCCATAGATTGTTAGTGTGACTGACTGTCCAGACATGTAATGACACCATGAACAGTGTAGTGCTACAGAAGTACCAGAAGTTTCCCATCATCCTATGTGAGAAGTCTTTGACAATGAACTCAGGACTCTGAGGAACAGGTCAGCTGTGGAGCAGTCCCTCTCCAGCTTTTCGGTGGCTGGTGTGACTCCTAAGGTTGGATTCTAAGGCGTGACTTGAACCATACTGTAGCGAGGAGGTTTGGCGGTCTTAGGGTCCCACAGAGAAGGCTGGCTAAGGTAGTGTCTTTTGAAAATGCCAAGGCTGATAACCAGAAGTCTGGGAATGAGAAACAGTTTCTCCTTTGTCTCTGGGGCCGTTCTTGGGCTTGGACGGCATCTGAAGCCTCTTCTGTCAATTGCCTCTTTTTGGAGGCTGCTCCAGCACTGCTAAGCTAGCCTTGCTTCCCCTGTGACCTCTAGTGATGGTCTCTGGTACTACTTCCTGCTCCAGGGATGGGTTTTGTCCTGCTAGACTAGAATAACCAGGCTCCCCTGGAACTTACTGTGTAGCACAGGGCACTTTGAACTCATCAAGATTCTCCTGCCTCTGGCTGTCATACAGGTATGAGCCACAACACCCATACTCCTAGATGTTTCATTTCACATGCTTTGGGGAAGGCATTTAACCTTTTTCCTGGGATTTTTCTGGGGTGGGGGGCTTGATCCCAGCACACAAAACTATTTTCTAAGGCAATTATGCTTATTTTACAATAGGCTTATTGGTGCATTAAGTACACATTGACTCTTACTTTGTGTAGCAGTCAGGACAGATGATGCTCTGCTGCTCTAGGCTCTGCACTGAAATGAATTAAAGGGATTCATAGACAATTGCAATGATCTGTGTCTTCCTGTGACTTTACAGTTTATTAGAGGTGGCAGGCACTTCAGTAGCCAAAGATGACACAGGCACTGGAAGAAAGTGGCCTTCACAGACCTGTAAATAAAGTCTGGCGAAGATGTCAGTGTGAAAAGCAAAGCTAGAGTGTGTGTGCCTACCATTCTTCTGCACTGTTTCTTAGGTTTTGGTTAAAAGGGCAGTTGGTAAGTGCTTGTCTGGCATAGATGAAGCTCGGTGTTTGTTCTCCGGTCCTACCTAAAGCCAGATGTAGTGGTATATCCCTATCATTCCAGCATGTGGGAGGTGTGTAAGTTCATGATTATCCTTAGCTACGTACAGAGTTCAAGGCTAGCCTAGGCTGTGGGAGATGCTGTTTCCACCCCTTCCCCCACCCCACCCCCTCATACAGGGTTTCTCTGTGTAGCCCTGGCTGTTGTGAAACTCTCTCTGTAGATTAGGCTGGCCTCAAAGTCACAGAGCTGTCTACTTCTGCCTCCCAAGTGCTGGAATGTGTACTGGCTGGAGAGATGGCCCAGAGGTTAAAAGCACCGGCTGCTCTTCCAGAAGTCCTAAGTTCAACCCTAGCAACCACACAGTGGCACACACCCATCTATAATGAGGTCTGGTGCCCTCTTCTGGCATATGCAGGCATATATATGAAGGCAGGCTGGACACCATACACATACATACATACAGAGAGATAATTCTCTATGCCAATAGCTACTTTTCACCTAATCCTCAAATGTGATTCATGGCCCCTTGCCTCCCCCTCATCCCTTAAAGTCAATACAGTGAGTTAGAAGAGCTCACAGAAACCACTCCTTCCAAGCGCTCATTTTCACAGACATGGAAATTAAAACAGAGAATTTGAATGGTTAGCTCAGGATTAAAATGGATCTTTTAAAGGAACTCTGTCTCCAACTGCTTACAGAGTTCAAGGAAGAGCAAGAGTTAAACACTGAGCTTTGCCAATGGTAGTGCACTCAGGAGGCAGAGGCAGGCTGACCTCTGACTTCAAGGCTAGCCTGGTCTACAGAGCAAGTTCCAGGACAAACAGGGCTACACAGAGAAACCCTGTCTTAAAAAAAAACAAACAAACAAAAAACCCAAACAACCCCCCCCCAAAAAAATACCAAACTCTTCTGGGCTTTCTGGCTCCGTATGTCCCCAGCTCCCCTCAAGGAGCTTTCGTGGGTTAAAGGGTGCAGCCCCCTGCCTCCCTTTGAACTCCCAGAAACCCTCCTACTAAGCCTCCCTGTGAGTCCTTCTACACTACAGCTGTCACATTAGACATCTGTGATGTGAAATGAGGGAAAGATGAAGGAATTGGGACTTCACCCTAACTTCTAAATATGAATATAAATATGTTTGCTTCACGTTTCTTGTTGTAGACCCCAACCGTGCCATACACTGTTCACTATTGTAGCTTCTCAGAGATGCATTTGAGTCTTTGTGGCACTAAAGCCCCTGCATGTCTTTGGTCCAGCGGTAAAGGCCAGACATTTCCCACCTGTAACAAATAGGTCTCTGAAGGCTGAGTTGCTCAGTTGGTAGAGTCCTTGGGTTCAATCTCTAGAACTGTATAAACCAGACACTGTGGCTAAGCTTGGAATCCCAGAGAAACAAGTTTTGAAGCCAGTCTGGGTTATATTAATGAGTTCATATCCTTGACAACATGAGATACTGTCTTTTGGTTTTGTGAGACAGGGTTTCTCTGTGTAACAGCTATGGCTGTCCTGGAACCAACTCTGTAGACCAGGCTGGCCTCAAACTCATAGAGATCCTCCTGCCTCTGCCTCCTCCTGAGTGGTAGGATTAAAGGCATGTATCTCCACTACTCAGTAAGCTACTGTCTTAAAAAAAAAAATAGTTTCCAAGGTGCCAGCTCCTTGGACAACTTACTGTTGTGATCTTGATAGAATATACATTTTTTGGACATTTGAAGGATACTGATAGTTTTAGAGAATGTGCCTAGAGGCCTCACACTACTGTTTAATTGACCATTTCACTAATCTTCCCACCTGACACTCCTGGGGGACAGTCTCAAGAGCTAAAATCCTTACCTTTCCAACTCTGTTGTCATTCGTTCATTCCAAAAAGTCTAGGAGCATCTGTGGGTCTTTAGCAGGTAAGGTAAATGAAAGAGGCTGCCCAATTAAGGCTCCTGTCTCCTGGGAGTCTGGAGTCTCATTCTCATTCAAAGACTTTGTGGTACTGGGACAGGTCAGCCGATAATTGGTTACCTCTGATGAAGAGGGCAGAGGATGCCAGGAGTGCTGGGGCCCATCTTTGGTTCAGGTGGCCTTAGTAAACTCAGCTTCCTCACCTGTAAGAAGTTGGTCTCTACGGTGCTGTTACCTCTGACAGTCTTATATGATCTGAGAGAATTCATGTCTCCACAACCTTGGAGCTCATGTCCTGTCTGTCTATCCGTCCGCCGTGTTGCAAAGTGCCTGCCGGGCCCATTTGAGTTAACTGACTCTGTATGTAGATCTGGTGTTCCTGAGATGTGTGTTGAATGTTTGTTCTTGGAATGAAGCCCTTCCACTTAACTATGACTCTGTTCTCTCCATTTTGCAAGTGTATGTGTGAACCAGTTTTTTCCTCTTTCTAACAGCAGTGCTGAGCAGACAAGCTTAGAAAGGGTGTTCTCTTCATGTTGTTTCAGGGAAAATAGAGAAAGTCAAACCTCCTCCATCCCCCACAACTGAAGGTCCCAGCTTGCAGCCTGACTTATCCCCTGAAGAGGCTGCCGGAACCCAGCGGCCCAAGAACCTGATGCAGACCCTCATGGAAGACTATGAGACACACAAATCTAAAAGGCGCGAGAGATTGGATGATAGTAGTGTAAGTTTTCCTCCTTTCCTTTCTCTTCTCTGAGTGTGACTGTCAGTGTGGTATGCTTGTGTTCTGGTTCAGACCTGGAAATGTGTGCATTTGTCTGGCTGTCTTGCATTGTGGATCTGAAACACTTTTTTTTTTTAAAAAAAAAAAACAAAAAACAAGAGTGGTTTAGGCCGGGTGGTGGTCATGCACGCCTTTAATCCTAGCACTTGGGAGGCAGAGGCAGGAGGATCTCTGTGAGTTCGAGGCCAGCCTGGTTGGTCTACAGAGTGAGTTCCAGGACAGTCAGAACTGTTACACAGAGAAACCTTGTCTCGAAAAAGAGTGGTTTATTTAATGGGCCTTGGGGGTCCTGTGGTCTTGTTTTGTATCACAAAAATATCTATGATCAAGAGCTGGTTGTTTGGCGGGCAAGGCTGGTACAAGGCATGGTGGGTGTGGAGGAAGACAGTGTGCCTGTACAATACAGTGAATAAGAATGCATGCCCTCTGGAAGTACCCTCGGCTTTCAGAATCACTGCTGTGACCAGTTCTTATGTGTGGCACACTGCTCAAGACACTAAGTATGTCTTGGGCCATTTTAACAGAGCCATTTTAAATGACAGCTAAAAACCACACATGGCTACCCAGCTACCTTCAACCCTCAGAACTATGCCCGTGCTGGCTGTGTGCATGATGAAGGAAGTCATCTGCTCTCTGGTCTCCTTGTCCAGTAAAGTTAAAAGGGTGCTGAATGGTCCTCCACAAGCCTGGGGGCAGCCCCAGATTTCATGCAAACACCCTAGAATCTCTGGCATCGATCTTTTATCTTTCATCAAAGGACCCCTCACCCCCAGCCCTATGCCATTACACTGAGGTCACAAATTGGCTTGATAAAATATCTAGTTTCTGCCTGTTGTACCAGTGTGTTTACTTATAGCAACCCCTTCAGAGCATCCCAGTTCGGATAAGCTATGCAGTCACCCTCAACTGAAATGCTATGAGGTTCACAATAGGAAGTCCCTGCCAAGTCAATGCCTTTCATGTCCTGGCTGGATAGTCCCGAGTTCAAGAGTTCCTGGGAGGAATGCCAATGCTGTAGGCTTCTTTTCAATAAGAATGATAAAGAAAAGATGAAAACACACACATCCTCTGCCAAGTCATGAAGGAGCACTTACTTAGCTACCGAGAGGCCAAGGGGCTTCTCTGGCTAGAGCTCTGCCCTGGGTAGCTGCTGCAGACAGCTGTACTGGGTTTCGCTGAGCCCTGTTTGGAGGCATTCCCTCTTTGGGTGTTGTAAATTGTAGTCTGAAGTGCAGCCTTAGCAGCATAGGGGTTCTTCTCTCTCTGAGATTCAACAGTGTATACTGGCAGCTTTGCTGGAAGCTAGCGGAAGAGTCATGGACTGTTAAGTCATGATGCAGGCAAATGCTTCTTAAGGGTATTCTACGTTTCTTGTGTATGCTGTTTGCACTGGAGTGCAGATGTTATGTAGGGAAACACATTTCCAGGCTCTGTGTCACAGGTCTGTAATCCCCTAAGGAATGCCCACCTAAGGAATGCCGAACGGTCCCAGTTTCCTCTGAGTGGATGAGGTAGCCTGGAGTCAGCATTTTAATGTGCTAATGGCCTCCTGTATCTATTCCTCCCAAGAAAATAAATAAGCATGTTGGCTAAGGAAGAAACCTACTAGTGAATCCGTGTATTTTTATGATTATTGGAAGGCTGCGTGTCCTGAACTTTTCCTGATCTCACAATAGAACAAAATCTGTCAATTGTTGAAAAATTTAATCTATCCAGTCCCCTGTACTCCTCCCTGCCCCACTTTTGAAAGAGACCCAAACCTCAGAAACCCTTACTCAAACTGCTTCTTAAGTTATATGGGCACCAGCCAAAATTGACTTCCAAACCACCCATTAGCATGCCTCCTAGCCCTTCTAATGTAGGGTACCTTTCTACTATCTCTGTAGAGAATAAGCTTCATCTCCTCCCAACCCCCCAGTTGGTCTCTAACCCTGCCTCCATTTTGTCTTGTCTCATATACCAGAATGATAATGAGGAGGAGAGGGGTTGCTTGGTGGCGGTTATGTAGCCGGCTCCCCTGTCTCGAGAAGCTAACGTTGGTTCTGTTCAAGGCCATGCAATTCTGTTCTCCTGGCCCCATCCACACACATTGTTCTTAGGGTGACCCATGGCTTCTTGGATTTCCTGTCCTCCTAGAGGCTCCCACAGCTCATGCTGGCATTTTGGTATGCTCTTTTGAAGACTAGAAGCCACCCCTGAAACCACATCAGAGCGATGGTGGTCTCTGGAACCCTCTCCACAGTTCAAGGGCCCACTCCTTCAGTTTCCCTCTTTATGAAAGTCAGTGGCCGAGGATTTCTCTTCACCAGTGGGGTGCTCGCTCAGCATGATGGAACCCTGTGTTAGGTCTCAAGCACTACATAAACTGGGAATGGTGGCTCATGCCTATAATCCCAGCTCTCCGGAGGCAGTTTCTGCACTGACCTCCTGCTGGGAACAAAGGGGTCATTTGAGGGTTCACTTGGTGACACTGAACCTTTCAGGAATGTCTATCTGGGAGGCTCTGTGTGAGTATTTATGGATGACCTCATTTGTTTAAAAAAAAAAAAAAACAAAACAAAAACAAAAAAACTCAGTGACAAAGAACACGACAAAAACTCACTTTGGGCAGACTACTTCTAGCAGTCTTCATGAATCTGGACTGGCAACCTTGTTCTGTGTTATCCCCAGTGAGTGTCTCCAGCAGCTAAAAGACCACACTAGTCCTAAATAATCATCTCAGATGATCATCCAAGGACCATCCCCAGTTTGAAATCTTATCCAGGACCCACTAGTTTCTGATGAGGGAAACTGTGGTCTCCTTGGTTAGATGGTGTCATCCTCAGGTCAGGGTTAGAGAACCTGACTTCACAAACCTGCCACCCCCACCCCATTTCTCCCCCTGTCCCTTCAGCGTCCTCCACCCTTCATTATATTGTTGGGGTCTTACTGTAATGACACAATGGGGGCACAAGGCTGTTACAGGTTCAGAGAAGCCCACAGGAAAAGAAAAGACTATTTGGTTACAGAATTCATCAAATCCAGAATGGCTGTCTAGGTCCTTGCTGGTGGGTAGCCAGCTCCACAACGGGGGAGAAGCAATCTTGTTAATTCAGTGCACAGAAAATGAAAACAACATCTTGAATTAACAAAGCCTGGCTTGTCTGATATTTTTATTAATGAGTAATAGGGTATCTACTTGCCTCAAGAGATACAGACTTTTAAATAAACAAATATCAGATGAAGCAACACTCGGAGAGGTTGTACAATGGTACCCCCAAGCTCTTCCCCTCCTTCTCACTTCTGGCATGGTGCCAGAGCCCAGCCCCCTAGGGAGGGGGAGTCTGTGACTGTGTCTCTGCCATGTACTAACCCTGGTTCTCTCCCTCTCTGCCAGTACACCTCTAAGTTACTGTCTTGCAAGGTGACTTCCGAGGTACTTTTCAACTTGTCTGTCCGGGTCCTGATGCATGCTCGATCCATGTGCACACTGTTGTGGTTTGCTGTCTCCTGCTGTGTTCAATAAGAGTGGCAAGAAGAATGCTTTCTCTCCACCTGTATTTTCTGCCTGGCTTTTCTGAACTGGGGAGCTGACTCATATGCCGGAATCCACACAACAGTGAACACTGCTGTGCTGGGAATGGGGGATGGGGGTTGGAGAAGATTGTTGTCACCCTTGGATCTGGAAGACGTTGAACTAGAGGGCAATTATTGGCAGGCTGTGCAGACTCTTATTTTTCTTCAGGCACAAGTAGCAAAAATATTCTGGTCTGGTTAGCATACAGTGCCACCCCTACAGGCTGAGCTCTGTCCTTTCTTAGCCTTAGCAGGATTCCCAGAGAGCTCTGTGCTATGGATGTGGGGTGACGGTTTCCAACAGCAAACCGTCCCAGGCTCTCCCACCTCTCTGCCATCTTGGAGCCTGTATTTTTGTTTTGGACGCTCAGCTAAGCAGTGGCCTTTCCTCAAACCACCTCCTTCCCCATACAACTTCCTTCTACACAGATTTCACAAATACATGTGCTGTAAGGACAAAATACTTAGTGGGACTAGAGAGAGACGGCTCAGTAGTGTAGAATGCTTGCTGTGCCTGCAGTGGGTGACAGGGAGTTTGGCAGCTAGCACCCATATCTGGTGGGTCACAATCCCCTGTAAGCCCAGCTCCAGGGGATCTGATGCCCTCTTCTGGCCTCTGCAGGCACTTGATGACTGTACATGCATTCATACACATGCTCAGATGCCTTCATACATAGTTAAAAATTTAATAATTTAAAAATGCAGTATTACTCTGTGTGTGAACATGTACACACACACACACACACACCACAAAACAGGGATTGAATCCAGGACACATACACATTAAAAAATTTAAAAAGTTTAAAGCCCAGCATGGTGGCACATGACTTTAATCCCAGCACTAGGGAGGCAGAGGCAGGAGCGTCTTTGTGAGTTCAAGGCCAGCCTGGTCTACATAGAGAGTTCCAGGACAGCCAAGGCTACACAGAGAAACTCTGTCTCTTCCCTGACCCCCAAAATTTAAAAAAATTAAAATGTTGTATACACACACACACACACACACACACACACATATATATATATACACACACACACACACACAATACATACAAACATATATACGTATGTACATATATACATGTGCTTGGGATTGAATGCAGGGCAGACAAGCACTGTCTATCCTAAGTTATAGTTCTAGTCCTATTTTTTCTTTTAAAAAAGTTTTTATTTTTGTCAATATGTCTCTGTTTTTTCTGTAAATTTTCATTTCTGTAGTATACGGAACTGTGGAGACACTCATCCAGCTAGTTCATATGTTATGGAGGGTTGACTATGAGTGGGACACTATAGTAGAGCCCAAGAAGGCAGCAGGCAGTATGCTCCTGCAGTCTTGGAGCCATCTACCTCTGTCACTGTCCCATTATTAGAATTTCATAGTATTGGCTAGGTGTTTTTCAAACAATTCAGTGTGGCAAATCCAGTTCAAGCCCTCTTGTTACTTCTCCCAGTTCCCAGTTTTCTGTCTCTGTCCCTCATTATCTCCTCTGAGGGGTCACTGTTAATGTCATGGTGTTCTTTCTTATGCATGTTTTTTTAATACCACACCTGTATAGATACACATAAGAAACACCATAGGGTTTGGGGGCTTTTTTTTGTGTGTGTGTGTGCATGTTTTAAACTTTCTAAAAATGGTAAGTCACATGATGGTATCCTCTTCTTATTTCATTCAATTGCTTTTATTTTTATTTATTTATTTTTAAACTTAGTTTTATCTTTTATGTGTGTGATGTTTGGGCTGCATGTATGTCCGTGCGCCCTGTGCATGCAGTGCCCTTGGAGGCCAGAAGAGGGCACTGGCTCTCCTAGAACTGGAGTTACAGATGGTTGTAAGCTGTCTTGTGGGTACTGGGATTCGAACCTAGGTCCTCCCCAGAGGCAGCTAGTTTTTTGAACCATTCAGCCATCTCTGCAGCTCCTGTTGCACTGGTTTTAGATGTGTCCCAGTGTTCTGTTGAATGAATAAGTTCTTCTCTATCACTTTCATGTTGATGGCTATGTGGATTAAGTTGTTTCTGATAAACTTTGGGGGATTTTATTTCTCTGTTGTATCCTGCTGGGGACTGAACCCAGCTCCTCTGGCATGGGAGACAAGCACCAATGTATTTCACCACACATCTTCCTGTGCATATGTGGAACGATTTTTCTACCTTCAACCGGGCATACTTTTATCTACTAGATCTTCTAAATGTTCCTCCAGTTGGTTGTACCAACCTCCAGCACCATATGTATTTTGATTATGGCTCATTATTAGCAAAGCTAATAGCTGTAGATTTAGTCTATTGGTTACTGATGTATAAGATTTAAGCTAATGTTGAATACCATGGCATATGCCTTCCTCGTTGTCTGCCTGTCTGTGGTTCTCATTTAGGAAGTAGCCCTTGGAGATTCAGACCCTGATCCCACATTCTCACCGAATCAGTATGGTTCAGAACAGAGAAACTCTGGCCAAGGATGTGCAAGGAAGCTAGAATTGGGCTCAGTCTTCAACTAAAGAAGTAGGAAGATCACATGTTAGCTTGAATATTAGTGGGGCTACTCAACAATTTAACCCATTGGTCCTTTGCTTCATAGCCCTCATTTGACTGCCTTGAAATGCCCAGGCATTAGAAAGATAATTAGTTTTAGAGCTTGTGTGACAAGAATTGATAGTTTTTCTTCAACCAGACCCAAAGTTGAATTAATTTGTGAAGACAATAAGAAAACCTTAAATTGGGTTGTAAAGGGTGCTTGCAGCTCCCGGCGTCTCACAGCTGTTGAGTAGCCATGTAGCTTGATGGCCTCAAACATTGACTCCACACCTGGAAAGCTGAGTTTAAATCTTGGCCTTTCCTTCTACTGACTGAGAAATGCAGGGCAAGTTACTTAACTTCCCCATGTGTCCGCCTCGTAGGAACTAAATGTGTGAACAGTAATGGCATGAAGCTTCCAGAACAGTCCTGGGCATGAAAGTAGTAACTGGTTCTTAGTACTTGTGATTGAAAGTGTACTGTGACTAGAGCCCCATAGACATTCACTTTGAGCTCATGAAAGACTATAGAAAGTAAATTTTATGTGCACTAATAGAAGTAGTAAGAGTTCTGAGTTTACTAACAATTTAGACATGCACCCTCACCCACATCCGAATTAAGTATAGAGCAAGAGCTCAGCTCCCCTGAGGGCTTGGCTTTTGAATCTTCCCAAGACCTAATGCAGGACTTCACTCTAAAATAATCCTCAGTTCTAAGCTTCAAGAGCCCAAGGGCAGCTTTACTCTGAGGTTCTTAGCCATTTCAATACTGGCTCATTCATTTTCTTTTCTATGTGTTAACCGGGGGATTTAGATTTTTATCAGGCATTGGGAATCACATGAAAAGGACATCTAAATTAGAGGCAATGAATTAGGAGCTCATTACTACATGAGTTATTTGAGTTCTTGATCAACTGATGCTCAAACTCATGCTGAATAGCTATAATTGCCCTGCCTCCTGCACCTTTGGAGACTGAATTCTATGAGGAAAGGAACTCTCATATCTCCCACATACAACACTGCTCCTGTTGTTGGGAACCCAGTCAGTACTAGTGAAATGACTGGAGAGATGAATACTAACATGGGTTTCTGAAGAATAGAGCAAGAAATTTCGAGTGAGATTTATTAAACATTAAAAAGAGATTTACTGCCATGTGTGGTATCCACATTCCATTAATCTTAGTAATCTGGGGGCTGAGGTAGATTGTCCTTGGCTACAGGACAGGAACTTGTCTCAAAAGAAAATGGAATAAGGACACTGGAGAGATGGCTCAATGGTTAAGAGTATTGACTGCTCTTCCAGAGGACTGGGTCAGTCCTAGTACCCACGTGGCAGCTCACAATTGCCCGTAACTTCAGTTCCAGGGGCATCTAATGCCCTCTTCTGGCCTCTGCAGGCACCAGGCACACAAGTGGTGCACAAACATTCTTGTAGGCCAACACCCCTGCACATAGAAATAAATACATCTTTGGGGATGGGGCTGGTAAAGGGTTTAACTAGCAACAAAACCCCTTTTTTATTTTTTAAAGAAACCTTTTTCAGAACCTTGGCATCATTTTCATATTCCTGGGAACTTCTCAGTTTATGTCTGGAAGGCAAACATGAGTGATTTATGCAACACTGAGATCCTTATAAAATCTGTGCTTATATTTTACTCCAGGGCCTGTAACCCTTTCAGATGCTGGGAAGAATTATCTGAGCACTGCCCTGTGCACCTGAAACTGTCCCTTGGGCAGACTCCATGCTGTGGCTTTTGTTGTGCCCATTTGACACGGGGATACTGAGGCACTGGAGTTTGTGACTTATTGCAAGATCATGCTGTTACTACTATTTAAAACCTAAATCTCATTGAGCATCAGAGGTCTGACTGCCTCTTGAGAAAACCCATGCTGTTAGGGCAAGTACACTCTCCACTGAATAGACTAAGAGATGTGAAATACAAGATGAGCAAGAGACGAAACTGCGGTGTAGAACTCAGGCATTACAGTCCATCCGGAATTATCACTCATCCCCATGCTATCACACACTGGCCGGAAAACTCCTGTCTAGCTCCTAGGCTTGACAGCCGGCTTTCTTCCAATGTGAGCTTATGTGCAGGGCTAGTCATGACATGTTTATGGTTCTTAACATTTCAAGATGACTGACTACATCCTACCTGTCAAGTCCAGCTGTCCCATGTTGGGAGATGTGGGAAAGACCTCCCAGATAGAAGCATCCAGAATCTCTGAGTAGTTCTTGCACTTGACGTAGGCACAAAGAGGCATGCTGGGATGGGTCCTTTAGTCTACCCAGCATTTGCTTCCACGTGGCACCTTCTTACCTCTCTGGAGTTGCCAACATCACTGACCCTTGCCTGAATGATAATTTTAGACGAAGCACAGTGTTTGTTGCAGTTCAGAAAACCAATCAGGACTTTTCTGAAACTATGGCTTAAGTGAACACCAGAGTGCCTGGCATGTGCAGAGCTTGCTTTTGTTACAGTGGCCTGACTTAGAACCATTCCCTGTGTCTTGGCCACTCACTTGCTTTCCATGAGTATTCCATCCTGTCCAAACTAAAAATTGGAACAGGTGGCCTGATGCCTTCTCTCAGGAGCCCATGAATGATTCCAATAAACAAGAGTGGGGGTTTCCCCATCTCTGTGGGGGTGAGCCTACTTGGCCTTGATGTTGTCACCTTTAATTTATCTTATTAGTAGTACATATGACCTTCATGACACACCTTCATCACACACACACACACACACACACACACACACACACACATGCACACATACACCAGAATGCTGATGGCTTTTTATTGTCCTGAAAGCTTCCCCGTTCCCTCACTTCGTGGCCGTTTGTGTTTCATTCTTCCATAGTCGATTCTTGGGCTATAAATATTTTCCCAGTGTCATGTGGATCTGAAGACTTGATGCATCAAATCCATATTGGCCCAAAGTTAAACAATTCCTTCCCCATCCTTGGTTATGAGTCAGCTAAGTGGCAAAATGGTGATCGCTAGTCTCAGGGGGCTATTTAAATTATAATAATCCACTTAGATATTTCATTTCTCAGCTGTCTTGACTACTTCAAGGGCCTACTGGCCACATGTGGATAGCAGCTGCTACTTTGGATGGCACAGATGAACAGTTTCAGTGTGGCGTAAACGTCTGTGCACAACAGGAGTGAACAGCTTGTAGAGAGCTACCTTAGAATAGTCAGCTCTGCGAAACAGGTAGAACTCATCCAGAGTGTTGGCCCAGTGTGCTCACTACTCCAGGTCCAGTCTCCAGCACCACAAAAACAAGCCCAAAGAAACTGGTAAATACTGGGGGAACAAAAAGGTATTGGAAACCGTTCTTCAGATAACAGCTTTTCCATCCCCTTCCCTGTTTGTCCAGTCTCTGCTCATTACCTGCCCCCATTGGTACTGGATCCTGTATCACCTTCGTCTTGTGAACATGGTGTTGCGTGAGGAAATGCAATGGAGGGAAGAAAGAAAGAAGCTGGCCTTTGTGAACTCTGTTAATTTCTTCCCCTCTCTTTCAGGTCCTGGAGGCCACACGGGTTAATCGAAGAAAGAGTGCTCTGGCCTTGCGCTGGGAGGCAGGAATTTATGCCAATCAGGAGGAGGAGGACGATGAATAAGCTTCCTGCAGCCCAGGAGACTTCTTTGCTGAAGGAGTTTCAGCAAAGAAACCAAGAAATTATCAATTCAGAAGCATTTTAACAGACTATTTATTAAAGTGCATACAAACTCAACAATCCTCATGTAGACCAGAAGCTGCAATACACCGTGATTAAAAACAAAAGCAAAGAGGAAGTCCACCCATCAAACTCTGAAAGCAGAGAGTAAGAAGAGAAAGGATTTCTTTGTGATTCAAAGAGGCCTCTGGCTTTGGACCATTCCACAACCAATCCAAAGGGACACAGACATGACAAATGAGTCAACATAGTTGCTGCGGGCAGAACTGAAGCCAGCCTTGGCTGGGTGATCAGGAGGGGCAGATGGTGACACAGCCATTCTGAGGCAACATACCAGTCCAAGCTGGTGCAGTCTACGGCATCCAGGCCATTCCTCCACACCAGCTCCTCTCCACTCTCTCTCTCTAGAGGCATCAGAGAAGTGTTGGGTTGACTCCATCTCCTCCAGCAGCCATAAAATGAATGGTGTTTCTTTCCACAGTTGCCCAAAAAGGGCAACAGTGATTCAATCTCTCTTATGTGTAATCATTTTTAATTGGGAACACTTAATAATCATAATATATAAACATCCGCATTTTTAAGACAATATCTCTTCATGTTGCAGATGCAATCTATTCTACAGTAGGAAGTTGAGAATGGTAGGGGAGAACCAAACCAAATGGGTTATTAGCTTTAGAACCTTCTCTGCTCATCCTGTTGACTGGTCAGTTTAGGGAAACACACTTTCACGGTTATGTTTCTTCATATGAAAGCTATATTTAGTGGGCAATGATTATTTTTATGATGGGATGGGGGAATAGGAACATGGATAAAATCTACACATTGAACAGCTTGGTTCAAGATGGTAGGGGTATTTTTAGAATGGCAATAATTGAAAACAAAAGGGGGCAGACTCTACCTTAGAAGGGTAGATGATCAGAAACACAGTGTTCATAACTATTTTGTATTTTAAAGTGGGCCTTAGAGGTGGTTGGGGCATAGGATGGGCTGTTTTGGATCTGAGTAAGGCAACATTAAAGTCATGGAGGTAGAGAGAGAAATGGGGGTGGGAGGGAGGAGGAGTGGGAAAGGAAGGAAGAGATTATTTTTGCTGAACAACCAGTGTTTTTCAGGATGACAAAGAGAAAAATATATAGAGTAGAACTTTAAGTGCAGACGTGGAATCAGCTACAAATCCTAAGGATGGTGTATATGCATTTGTGTGCCTGTTTAGAGTATATGTTCATGAGTAAGGGTATGAGAGTGAGTGAGTGAGTGTGTGTGTGTGTGTGTGTGTACACGTTAAAATTTCAGGTTGATCGTGACACATGGGTGGACAGTATTTCCTCCATAGCTGTCTGCCTGCTTCAGGAGTGAGTGACAATTTTCTTTTTTATGAAAAGGGATATAAAGGCACAGGGCTGACACAGTATTTCTGATATTGAACTGGCCTAACATGGTATTTGCATGAGTCACAATTGTGAAATTTTGAGGTTTTGTATTGATTTGACATTTAGAATACATCCTATTTATTCCTGTGCTTCTATTCATGCCTCGTACACTATAGAGGGTCCCAGCTTTATTCTTTCTGTCATTTAAAGCAATATGATAAGGGTGGTCACTTATCAGGTGCCCTTAGTTTCTGAATGAGGAAATGTTTCGTTTCTGGCAAAGGTGGGGGAGGTGGGAAGGGGAGAAAGAGGGGGAAGGGAAGAAGGGAAAAGAAGAACTAACCAGCCTTTAATATCTTTCCTTTATTTTAAAAACCATTTCTTGAAAAGCAATAATTAAATCAGACCTTGCTAAAATTCATTTTTGTTTTTACGTTATTATGTCATAAGGTTTTTAATATGTTATTCTAATAAGTAGCGACTCCATAATATTTATATGTACCTTTCCATACATTATCTTTATTCTTTTTATTAGACTAGTGTTGACTTTGGGGAAAGTTTATTCACTGATAAGTAGTGGGTACAAGTTAAAAAGGAATTGTCTAATGAGTTACAAGGATCTTTAAGAACTGCCAAGGGACCCTGCAATTCAAAGCCAAATCCTGCAGACGGTAGCAAAATTGTACGAGGGAAGTGCACACTGTCTTTAGACGGCTCATTCTTTTAGACAGAATGTTTTTTAAAAACACTAGACACTGGGGACAGAAAGCAAATGAGAACCATGTTGCCGCAAGGGATTTGCTTTATAGTAAGGGAGGCTGGCCCAGAAGCAAATGTCCTGGCACATGACATCCATGTCAGATTAGAAGGTAGATGGGCACACTGGAGGGCACACCTTTGTCTAAGGATTTGGGGCTGGAGTCCCCAAATGCCTGGCCTGAGTACACAATGATGTGAGTATTTTTGTTCCCTAGGTAAATATGGGGAGAGGAGGTAGCTGCAGTGTTCCAAAGCCCCACACAGTTGAAGTTAGAAGGGCTAGAGAGCAGGATGGTACTGGGTCATACAAGAGAAAACAAAAACATACAACAACAACAACAACAAAAACAACAAAACTGCCTCATGTATTCTGGGGTCTGCTGGAGACAGTGCAAACTCACTCATTTTTCGCAGAGGAAACGGCCCTCACGATTTCCTTAAATTTCATGTCTTGTTTGGAAGGGAACCTCGGACCCACACGGAAGTTACATTGAGGAAGGAATTGGCAGCTGGAACCCACACAATCCATGGAGTTGCTTTGGTGGCGGATGAAGTGTTCCTTGGCTGCAGTAGATTGAACAAAAAGTTCTGAAGGACTGGGGATTATAGAGCCAGAGTCCTTTGGGCCATTTGTAGATAAAGAGACACTCAGTTTTTGCCACTCTGTCCTGGCCACACAGCTTTTTTCACTTTGCTCCTCATTTTCCTAGCTGTACTGGTTTCCCTGCATTCTAATGACTATCAGTTTCCCAGTCCTCCTTGCTGACAAGTGTGTTCTATTAAAGTGGAAATCACAGTTCCCTGGGAGAGCCAACTTCTCTCTGTGTTTTTGGGATGTGTTTTCTTTCTTTCTTTCTTTCTTTCTTTCTTTCTTTCTTTCTTTCTTTCTTTCTTTCTTTAATTGGGGTGGGTGTTGTTTAATTGATTTTCCTTTTTCAAGAAACATTTGAGTCATTGCTTTGGTCACCCATGTGCTAGGCTCTAGGATCCCACATCACTTTCCCAACACAATCCAGCCAGCCCCTGGAAGAGAGTCTGTCCTGTTCCACAAGCCTGAGGTGAGAGGCTCTTCACTAGTTTTGCCTTAGATGTTCGGCTCTACCCTGCACAAGCTTGTAAGTCTCAGCTGCAAGAAATGTTTAGCTTTTGTAGATGTTAAAGACCTTCCTGAGAGAATTCCACACAGCAGTGTTTATACACTCACTTTCCTCCAGAGCCAATGACTGACAGCCTAGGCTTTCTTATCCAGGAATGAAGGAAGCAGGACACGGTGCATGTCCCTTCTTCTCACCCATGCATGCTGCCCATCCTAGGCAATGACATAGAAACAGTATATAGATCAGTGTCCAGATACACACACACACACACACACACATACAGTAAAACAAGGAACACCAAAACAGTATTGATTGTTGTCTTTAAAGGTATTTTTTTCACCTGAAGAATGGACTTAAAACTATGTATTAAAAAAAAAAATAGCCTAAGTAAGTATTAGAGATGGTGAATGTATCCAGTTTCAGTTACAAAACTAATTTCCTGAATTTTGATCATTCAGTGAGCTGCCAATTTTTATTTTGTGTTGCTCTTTATCTCTTCATCCAAATGGCCTTTCCTTTTTTTTTTTTTTTTTTTTTAAATTGGAGGAAGGGTGGGGGGAGGGGGAAGCTGCAATACTATGTTTTAAAAATTATACTCTGTACCTGGCTTTCCTGTGTTATGTTAACCACTTAAATGTTTTTATCCTGCTTTGGTTTTATAGTGACTGTGAGGCATTCAATGCAGCTATACAGTTATTTTCTCATTAAAACTCGACATGTGTGTGGTGTTTTTTTCCCTTTTTTTTTTAAATGGCTATTTATTTGACTGTGGAAGGAGGTTGGGAGATTAGGTGCAAGCTTTGAGGCGACATGCCAGTGCCCCTGGTCTCTGCCTCTGCTTCCCCGTGCATGGGACTGAAGAAGCAATGGTTGCTGATAAAACTTCCCGTGACACCCGACCTGTGTCAGGGCCCACAGAAATGGTGCAGGTGTCCCTTGATGAAGTATTTGGACTTCAGAGTCAAAACACCAGAATGAGTCCTCAAGCCATGCCTCAGGTATAGCCTTGTAGCGTGCACACACCTGTGCATGTGAAGGTCAGAGGTCACCTTTAGTTTTATGAGGCGGGGGTCTCTCACTGGCTAGAACTGGTTAGGTAGTCTAGGCTGGCCCTGGGGGTCTAATTGTTTACACTTCACTATCACTGGGATCCTGTGTGTGCCACCATGTCAGGGTTTTTTTTTTTTTTTTTTCTGTACGTTCTGGGAATTGAACCCAAGTCCTCATATTTGCTCAACAGGCACTTTACCAACCGAGTAGATTCCTCTGCCCCTAGTGCTAATCCGCATCACATTCCCAGCATGCACCTGTCTTTGGCTCTCCTTCATGGAAGACTTGCAGATTTGAAAAAAGACAGGAAGAGCAGGAGTTCTTCAGGAAACCACCTTCCTCTTCCATACCTGCCTGCCCCTCCTCCCTACCCATCAGTCTCTGGGTACTCACTCAGCACAGTTTCCTGTGCCCCCTATGTGCCTCCCCAGCCCTGCTCTTGTGCTTTCCAGCTGTCCCCCTCCCCTCTCTCCCCAATTGGGATTCCAGCCTTTTCATCCCCCAAATTTCCAGCCAGCTCCTCCTACTCTGAACATCTTGGGGGTCTCTGGTAGCACCCTGTCAGGGACAGCATCTACCCAACTTCATGTGTTGAGAGTTCTGACTTGGTTGGGAATGTGGCTGAGTGGTACAGTCCTTGCTTCATACATGTAAATCCCTGGTTCAGTTCTTAGTACTGAAAAAAAAAAAAATTAAAAAGCCTGGTGAAGCAGGGCCTGCTGTCACAAGTCCATAATCTCAGCTAGAGAGCTGCCACAAGTTCAAGGCAACCTGGTCAATAAATTCCAAGCCAGACAGGATTATATTCGACATATTTCAAAAAAAAAAAGCACCAA